AACACTTGTTAAATAGTTTAGAGAGAATTGAAGAAAGTTCTGGAGAACAATTCTGCAAGACTGTGACTGGGTTTTAAAACTGTGACTGGAATTTAAAAAATCAAAATTAAACGTAAAAAACTTGAACAAATTTAGGACCAAAAAAAAAAAGTTATAAAAAAAAACAATAGATTTTAAAGATTTAATATTTGTAAAAACTTATTTTAAAAGTAAAAAAATTTGTAAAAATGTAGACAACATAATAAAATATGGTCTATCTTTAAAAGAATGCACATAAGCAATATAATTTATTCAGCTAGGTGTGGCATCATATATTTGTATTATTAATTTTAAGCTGATGTTATATAGGTGTATAACATCAGCTTAAAATTAATAATACAAAAGTAAAAATTATAAAAAATCTGATAATTTTACTTAATATATATATATATATATATATATATATATATATATATATATATATATATATATATATATATATATATATATATATATATATATATATATATATATATATATATATATTAGGGTGTCCCAAAAACAACATTTTTGAAAATAATCTGCTCTCGCCCCCTAAATGTGTTCTATCTAATACAAAATCACTAGGTTGAAATTTTTTTTGAATAAAAATATTTTTAAGGGGTCCCTCAAGACCCTCGAATATTTAATGGGTCCCTAATATTTTCGAAAAAAAAGTTTTTCAAAAATATGTTAACCTGGTACTCAAATGAAGCGAAATTATATAAATATTTCAAAAATAATATTCAGTCTTGAGGGACCCCTTGAAATATTTTTTATTCAAAAAAAATTTAAACCTAGTGTTTTTGCATTAGATAGAACACATTTAGGGGGTGAGAGCAGATTATTTTCAAAAATGTTGTTTTTTGGGACACCCTAATATATATATATATATATATATATATATATAAATATATATATATATATATAAATATATATATATATATATATATATATATATATATATATATATATATATATATATATATATATATATATATATATATATATATATATATATATATATATATATATATATGCATATATATATATATATATATATATATATATATATATATATATATATATATATATATATATATATATATATATATTAGAGTGCAGTGAAAAAATTTAAAGTGAAATATTTATATGTAATAGCAAGAAAAAGTTGTCTTTTGGTAAGTGTTCAAACATTGAAAAAAAAAATTTTCAAAAATTTAAATGTCTTCAGCTGCCTCATAGGGGACAAAGTTACTAAAAAGAGGTATTTTTCATGAAAATTGACTGTTTTAGTCAATTTTTTTATTTATTTAAGATTATACTTTTTTGTCAAATTCTTTCAGAAGAAACTGTAATAATTAAAAAGATTGACATATATGTCATTCTTTTTTATCTAATATGAACATATTTCGATGATCTTATATGGTCATCAAAATATATTTCACGGCGTGACACTTTCGTGGGGGAAAGGGGGGCGGATTGGGATCAATGCACTAAAAAAATTTAAACTTCAATAAGTACTACTTTTTACAAAGTCGGTGTTTAAAGAAACACTGACTTTGTAAAAATAAAAAAAGGTCTTTTTAAAAATAACTGGGGAGACATGGTCCTCTGCGCTTCTCCTTCCCTCTCTCCGTCACTGTGGCAGATTAGCAAGTTAGCAAGTCAGCAAGTCTATATCAAGTTAAAGGGTGAAACAAAAATATCTATTCATTAATTATTTTAACATACACCTTAAAGTTTTAAAAAATCTGTCATTACACTCTACCAATTTATTGGTTCGGAAGCACGGTATTCTGACTTTGTGTTAAACACTGGCATTATGAGATGTGCATGTAAACGCGATCGAATAAAACAATCTCAAGTTTTTTCTCCACATACAGCCAGCGAAGCCTCAGTTACAAGCTTGACACACCGCTCAACTGGTTGAATATTGCATGGTAGTCTTTCAAACTCAATTATTGATTGTCCACCACTTTCCAAAAACAATTAAATATCTTCCTCGAACACATCAGCTGTCAACGGTGGCTTGGTTATTTTATTTTCTTTCCAGTTGATAAGTTGAATGTAATCATGTGCATCTAAGTTAAACATACATACAACCGTAGAAGTCTATTTTCTGTTGTCAGCCATCGAGAGTGATTTAGTACCCCTGGAATTTTTTTGATAGGGTTAGTAAACACTTAAATTTGGATCTTGCTTCGTACATTTCCCACATATATTTTTGATGTGTGCTCAAATCTTTAAGTTCAACTTTCAGAAGAGTTACAACTTTCAGAAGAGTTATTTTTTCAAATTCAACAACTGGTAATTTCTCGCAATTAATAAGCGCCTTACCAATTTGGCCAGAAAATGCTTTTGGTCCTGTAGTTGATCCATCCAAATAAATTAGCAGATGTTGAAGATGAGGAAGTTTGTTTGCATGCAAAAGGCAAACCAACCATTGCAACGGTTTGTTATATTCTTTTTCCATCAATCTTATTGCGCCATCCTTAATTCCTGTGTTTATGGCAGTTCTGTCACATCCAACAGCTACAAACTTTTTAACGTCAATATTTTAGATAGTTATAAAGTTGACTATAGAACTTTTTATCAAATAGGCAAATGATCCAGATGGTGATAAATGCTCAAGGTATTTAGACCCTGGTTCGCTATTAAAGAAATGTTCTCTTGAGTAATACTTCGTTGATAGTATTTTACTTGGATCAACAACATAAGAAGTATCTTGTTGATTAACAACACCAAAGTCTTCCAAAACTGCATTTGCTATTGCAGCTCCAGCTCTACCTGAGATCCCATACCGGTCACAGACGTTTGCTAATGCAGGAAGTGGTTGCCGACATTGAAAATACAAAGAACTAATAATGTCAATGGAAGAAATATCGAAAATATTACTTTTATTAATGTAATTATCATCTTCATCACTTTGAGCTGTAGATTGACTTTCAAAACCACCAACCGTAGGCACAGACAAGGCATTGCGATGCTCATTTCTACGCCACTGCTTAATACTTTTTCTTTTGAACTTCATGGCCAGTTTATTTGATGCAAGTTTATCAACATTGCCAATACACATCAATTTGAGAGTTCTCTTAGTTAGTTTCTCTTAGAGTTTTGTTACATACACACTTCTCAAACACACACTCACAGGTGCAGAAGTCAAACAGTTTATGTCTAACATCTTCTTTAAAAGCGTTCACTTTGTTATCATAATTACTGCGCTTGATGTTTTGCAATAGTTTTCTGTATTTATCATGATAGGAGCATCTTTAATACCCGTGTATGAGTAATCATCGATAGTGTTGCTTTTAACCATATTTTTTCAACAACTTGTGCAACTATTTCAGAGGTTTCTGATATAGTAGGTTCTTTCGTAGCAGCTGTTGGTTTCAGTTGATGTTCTACAAGCAAGTAATGTTTCATTACATCTTCATATGTTGGTAAAACAACTTGCGACATCTCTTTAGGTATACCAAAGACAGGACAAGTCAGCATCATCTTTGTTCTCACTAACCTAATAGCCATATTAAAACTTGTTCTATAATAAGCAAACTTTGTATTAGATTCATAAGTAATTATTGATTTATACATTAATCTAGGAAGCCATTAATAAAATTAAAATCTAAACTAAAATATCAAACATTAGTAACAATTTCTTGATATTCAAAGAAATATATTGAGAAGTATTAAAAGAAATATAATGAACTGCTTAGATAATTATTTCTAAATAATAACTAAAAAAAGGTTAACAAAACACATTTTACGTCAATATAACATAAAGTTAACAAGTATGAGACAAAACAAAATGTATTGTTTATACGTATTTTTGTTTGAAATTACTTTTTATGCAATTCAATGAAAATTTTCCAATTCAATTGATTAAGTCTTTTCTTCCATTTAATTGCGCAAGTTAAATGCTCGTTCAAACAGTTGTTCTCCATTGTAGCGAAATGTATAAAAACTTAATGATGTAAAAACAACAGACTTGCTCAGATAACTGAAAATTTTTTTAAAGATGGTGACTTAACAACTTCGTAGTAAATTTAACACCTGGACAAGCTTAAAACATTTAATTTTAAACATTTATTGAACAGTTATAAAGGTAAAATAACCAAGATAACCAAAACAGGTTAGGTGAAACCAATAGCGAATTAAGACTTTTTAGGGCCCTTTATTATGTGTCACAGCGTGAAGATGACTAAAAAAAAATTTTTTATTTTTAAAAAGTTGATTTTAGGTGCCCCAAGAAGTCCTTACAGTCTTATTACAGAGCACTGCGGAGAGCATTTAATAGGAAGTTCATGCCTCCTTCCCAACCGGTGTCGCAAAACTTGCCCAGAGGTGGGGCTTGAACCACGGATCTTACATTTCTGAGGCAAGTGCGCTACCACTGCGCCACGGCTGCTTAACTTCTCTTGACTCTAGCCCCCCCCTCCCACCCCCCCCCCCCAAACTAGCCCCCTTAATACAGCACTGGTTGAAACAATACTTTTAATAATTAGGCTTAGGGTATTAATAAAGAAAAAAATACAGTTTTTTATTTTAAAAAGTTATGGCTAAAACAGGCCGTTTTCATGAAAAACACCTATTTTTCAGTAACTTTGACCCCCTTGAGGCAGCTGAAGATATTAAAATTTTGAGGAAACTTTATTCACTTTATTTGAACACATATCAAAAAGCAACTTTTTGTTGCTATTACATATCAATAATTTACAATTTATATTTTTACCTAAAGTTTCACTGCACCCTAATATATATATATATATATATATATATATATATATATATATATATATATATATATATATATATATATATATATATATATATATATATATATATATATATATATATATATATGTATATATATATATATATATATATATATGTATATATATATATATATATATATATATGTATATATATGTATATACACACACACACATAAAATACACACATGCGTTATATTTGTCTTTTAGGGGTTTGGCTCCATCGAACGAGAGGCATGATCAAAAATGTATTAAGCAAACAAAAAGTTGTAAAAAAGATCTTAAAGTTGGAGATACTGTTATGCTAGAAAAATCTGAAAAGGTTGAAAAAGATGCTTTAGTTTTCAATCATAAGTTAATGAAATTTGGTGTGGTTGTACCCAACACATCAAATGAAGAAGATAAACTTTATGATGTTTCACGAAGGCATATTCGAGTTATTGATCTAGAAGCTAAACCAGTACTTAAATGTAAAGAGCATATGTACATTGATATCTGGGATGTAAAAAATATTGTTTTTTTAGAAGAGAGTAATACGTTCACTGGAAAAGTTATAAGTTTTGATGGACCTTATGCTATTGTGCAAATGAAGGAGGAATCTAGCGATTTAATTTATCCGAATGAAACACTTAAAGTCTGTTTAAAAACATCGTTAGAAAAGTTAAATGATGATGCAATTATTTCTCAAAGTAGATATAGAAAATATTTATATTTTAAACCCATTCAGATTTTTTTGGATAAAAAATACACTGTTTCTGCGATTAGTTGTTCAGAAGCAGGAATTACTTCACTATTTGTACGATTAAATGATGATCATGCTTTTTTATCAACCCCAAATTGTGAAAATACTCATTCGAATTGGTTTACTTCAGGGATTACAGATGTGTTAAAAAGTAAAAATGCTAAGAATTGTACAACAGTTGAGTTTGAATCTGTTGATGCAAATAATGCCAACCTATGTATGAAAAACATTACCAGTAAAAAGTTGGAGTTTAAAACGAATCAAGAAGCTTGTAAGTTAGACTTGAGTATTGATTACACAGGTGTTCTTCTTGAAGCAAAGACTTATCAAGAATTGGAATCATTACTAGAAAATCAAGAAAGTGTGCCTAAAATTTCACGATCATTGTCTATGCCTGTTACATCTATGAAGCGAAAGTTTGTTTCTGAAAAAGCAAATCATTTTTATTCAAAAAAAATTATGAAACCTAATATATATTCTTTAGTTGGTGGAGCGTCTGGCATAATTAGTCTACTTTTTGATAACAAAGGATGTTTTTATCCAACGCGGTTTGATTGTTGTCTTCGCGAACCTCCTTTATTTGAGATGGGGCCTATTATCTCTTTTGCATTGTTTGAGGAAAGTTTATTTGTCAATGATGAAAGTTTGGTAACCATAGTTGTTGGTAAGAAATTATAATCATAGCAACACATTTTTTAAGTTTAATATTATAATATATTTATACATAATATTTTTTCATTATAATAATGAATCCTTTAATTTTAAAAATTTTAGTTGTGAAAGAAAATGTTTTGGTTAAAGCTATAAAAACTGGTGACAAAAATGTTGTTTGCAATCTTCTAAATGATGATGGATGGAAACGGAAAAAAATGGATGAAAATTTCATTTCTGTTACTTCAAAAAACATTAGTTTTAATGACATGTTAGATGAGTATTGCAGTGGGAATCAGAATATAATGCACATTTCTGCAAGTAACATTTTGAAAACCAAAAGTTCATGTAATTAATTTTGTACATGTTTTTATATTTCAACTGCTTCATATATTAAAAATAATAATTTTCAAAATTTAAAATTCAAATATTTAGGGCATTCTTTATTGATTTTTGGAAATTACAAATGTTCTTTATGAACATTGTAAACTTAGATAAACATAGTTTGTCAACATAAGGTATTATTAAAACATTCTATTTTAATGACCTGTTTTAGTTTAAATTTATCAATTAAATATCATTTTACATTTCATTCAATTTAGAGTTTTATCATTGTTCATGCTTAATTTTGTATAATTATATATATATATATATATATATATATATATATATATATATATATATATATATATATATATATATATATATATATATATATATATATATATATATATATATATATATATATATATATATATAATGGTTTATATTTCCTAAAAAATATTAAAGACAGGCTTGGTCGGGAAGCGGGTGTGATCGCACTCAATAATTGACCACAGAAATATTATTTAGTTGTGAAAAACCGGCCAGATTTTTTAAATGTTTTGAGAACATTTCAAAAACAAGCAAAAAAGCGCATTAAGATTAACTGGACCGACGAGAGACAGTTAAAAAAAGAAAAATAGCTTTTAACGCGAAAAAACGCAAAGAGCAATTATTTTTGAAATGTTGCTATTTTATAACTTTTTTTATAAAATAAAGCGACATTTTTTATATAAAGTAACAACTATAAAAAAACAAATGTTCTTCGATTTATCAAAGAGTATATATAATTTTTATTTATACTTATGTCTTATTTCCAGTGCTGGATTGAGGAGGTGGGGTGGGGGTAGTAGGGCTATAGCCCCGGGACTCACAATGTTAGGGGAAATAGTCAAGAGGACCATTCGGTATTTTTTTAAGTCATTTTTACGCTGTGGCACATAAAAAAGGCTGCCAAAATAATGCAGCCCCTGGCCCTGAAAAGACCAACAAGATTCAACCAGATGATTTATTTATAAATAAAAGTTTTTTCAATAACTGCTTCGCGTAGTTTAAAAAGTTTAACACATTTGAAACAATTCTTCTTAATAAGATGAGCAAATGAAATAATTAAATGATTGAGTTACTGTAGAAATTCAATTAGCTAGATAGAAATTAACAAAAAAAGTTAAATTACTTTGTGAGGAGGAAGCGGAACTGCTTCACAATACCGCTGATGATGTTTAGTGAGTGGGCTTCATAATTTTAATTAGTATTTAAAACAGAAAAAAGTAACTTTAAGTATAACGAGTTTGTAAGAATGGCTGAAGCAAAAATAATTGAAGTTAGTAAACCAATTTCTAAGAACTTAAAAACTTTTTTTTCTTGGGAGAAAGAATCAGTTATCGGGTTTAATTATAATATTTGGTATTAAAATATATTAGTATAGTATACCATAAATTTAAAATATACTAATAAAAATTAATACAAATCTCAAATGTTGTGTTTAAATGAAAAATCAAAATGCACATGTTTTTTGTTTTGTTTAACAAATTCACTACCAACAAAGCTGCAAACAACCACTAATCATGTTAGGATACAAGAAAGAAAAAAATTGACAGAGGTCTTAAGAAGTTGTAAATTTTTAAGTAAAATTCAGGAAAGACTTCCAAAGCATTGATTTTCAATTAACTAGACAAATAAAATTTTTTTAAAGTATTAAGGGACAGATATAGGAAAAGTATATAAATTTGCAGAATGACAAGTTTTGTGAGATGGAGTTTTGATTGATCGAACAAGAGATAAAAACTTATTATTAGTATTTCTAGAAAATAGAGATTACAAAAAAAATTTGCAAAGATGACATAAATAATGTTTAAATTTGAGCTAAAACGATTTCAATGTGTAAAAAAACTTTCTGTAAAAATAAATATAGTAAAGGCTGCAAAAAATCTTATTAATTCAGTTCTCAACCTTTTCTGAAATGATAATTTTGAGCAAAATTGTCACTGCTATAGATTAAATTGCTGCACTAATTACAGTTTAAAATATTTGTTTATATATATCAGCCCTAGAAAATATTAAAAATAAGGTTGGCAATAATTTGCCCACCTTAATCTGTGTGAGATCGGCAGATTTAAAACAAAGGTTTGACCATAAAACATAGAAAGGAGGTTGGCTGACCTCAAACACTTCTAGGTTGGCAGTGCCGAATGCTGACCCTTATTATGAGGTTTGATATATATATATATATATATATATATATATATATATATATATATATATATATATATATACAGTAGCTTTCATAAATTTAGACGCATTCATTTTTTTTTTTCATATATGTAAGAAAATACTCAAAATAAAAATAAAATAAAAGTGCTACCGCTATGTTTGATATATAATTTAAAAGAGGAAATGAAACTCTATTATAGAGTACTTTAATTTTTTACAGGATGTTTATTACTCATTTTATACCGATTAACACAAAAAAGTTAATTGATAAACTTGATTTTATTTTGTTCATAAATTTAGACGCACAATTAAAAAAGTCTTATATCTTGTTAATTGATAGTTAATTAGTAGTTTTTTTTCTTATATTTCTCATTAATAGGCCTAAATTAATTGATTTTGTCAAAAAACCTTATATAAATATGACTTACATGGAATTATTTAATCATTATTTAATAAATAAACAAAAGTTAAGTTAGTTTTGCACTAAAAAAACATAAAAAATGGGCAAAAGACGTATCACTCAAGGTGAAAGATGGCAAATTATTGCGCACATCAAAGAAAGAACCAAAAGTAATAGAGAAATCGCCAAGTTAATTGGAGTTTATGAGAAATGCGTTCGAACAATGAAACAAAACTTTCTTCACACTGGTGGTGCCAGTGAGAAAACGAGGCCAGGTAGACCCTTGTCAACCACGAGAAATGACGATAGTGTTCTTTTTAGAGCTGTCAGAGCTAATCCAAGAGTTAGTTACAAAGAATTAACCACAGAATTCAATACAACGCAAAATACATCTATTTCTCAAAGCACAGTCTGCCGAATACTTATCAAATACAAGATTGGAGTCTACACTGCTTTGAAGAAACCACTTCTGCGTCCATATGATAAACAAAGGAGACTAAAACGGTGTCGTGAAAGAAGGTATTGGACAATTGATCAATGGGAAAACATTATGTGGAGTGATGAGAGTAACTTTGAGCTTATCAATCGCAAATCTAACATAACAGTCAAAAGAATGGCTCACAAAAAGTATTACGCCAGGTACATTAGACCAACTGTACAAAGTGGAGGAGGCTCGATAGGAATCTGGTCATGCTTCAATTAGAAAGGTGTTGGTATGTGCCAAACATACACCGGAAGAATCAACTCCAGAATATACGTAGAAGTACTGGAAAACAACCTAATTCCATCAATTGACCTGCTTATGCTCAATAATAAACCATGGAAACTTCAACAAGATAGCGCTACTGCACATACTGCATACTATGCAAAGGAGTGGTTCAACGATAATAATATTATGACAATACCGTGGCCTCCATATTCACCTGATTTGAAACCGATTGAAAACATTTGGGCTTGGATTGATCGTGAATTAGCAAAGGTTCAAATTTCCACACTTGGTCAGCTGAAGGAATTCCTTAAGGAGACCTGGTATGGGGTCCCAGAAGCGATGTGCAAAAATCTTGTTGAGTCTATGCCTAGAAGAGTTCTTAGTTGTATTAAAGCAAAAAGCGGATACACAAAATATTGATTGGTTCATAAATTACGCCTTCTAATGTATAGTGCGTCTAAATTTATGAATAATTTTTTTTGTCTAATTTTTTTAATACCATGTAGTTGTACCTAATTATTACTTAGTATTTCATTTTTTTTGTAAACTTTTTTTAAATTTTGTATTCTGTATGTATTTATCTGATAAATAGAAAAAAAACTAAACCGAAATCTTTTTTCGTCATTGTTTTATCGTTAAAATACCTAAAATTTTCTATTCTCAAATATGAGTGCGTCTAAATTTATGAAAACCACTGTATATATATATATATATATATATATATATATATATATATATATATATATATATATATATATATATATATATATATATATATATATATATATATATACACATACATACATACATACATATATACATACATATATATATGTATATATATATCTATAATCTTTAAATTGTAACTTAATTTAAAACCCCGTCAAACAAGAACTTTATGAGATTATTTAAATATTTTTTTTTTTTTTTTTTTTTTTATTTTAATTCACCTCCTCAAGGCCGAGAAGGCCACTACAGACGAGGAGGCTACTTATTTGTGGCTATAACCCTCTCTCAACTCTATAACTCCGAAACACGAACCTTGACGAACAAGGCCGCTGCGCGGAGAAACGAGTTAAATATGAGAGATGTTATTTAAAAAAATAACAATTAAAAACTAATGTACAAAAGAAACTATTTTGTACTAATAAAACCCCATATACTGCAAAGTAGTAGGCAAGGGGAAAGGTTTCAAAATTTTTTTTTATTATTTTTATTTATTTGCTATAAGATTTTTTTGCATTAATTCGAGCTCTGGTATTTTAAATAAAATAATAACAATTTTTAATGAGTTTAAAAATTTGCGAATGAAGTGTTTATAATTAAATTAAATTAAATTTTTTCAATAACATTTGATTAAAATCTTTAAAATATGCAAAACAATACTATATTGTAGGACTATGTTTACAATCAAAAACAGTCTTGCATCTGTGAGTCATAATGTCAACTAAATTAATGCAAACATCAATGGGAATTGAGTGCAATTTTTCTTTGATTTTTCTGAATAAGTTAATATGATTTGTAAGCTTAATGCCATAAATATTTGACAGTCAACATGTTGATTGTTTGACAGTCAACATGTTCCTATAAATAACCAATGGCATCTTATTTCATCAGTCAATTGATTAAGATATTCAAATTTAAAATTTTGGGATTGTTTTTCTGATATTAAATTTATCCATGAGGCACTTTATCCTTTGCATG